GATGTATTCGCCTGTGTCAAACATGTACGAAGGGAAAACATACACTCAGTATTGCACCCAATGCCATCGAAAAGAAAGGCAGGCTCCAAAGCATCACGGTATGTCACATTTACCTTACTGGCTGACTCTGGCAAAGGCAAAAGGACCACAATGGGTTCAGGATTTTGTGGTAGCCAGGACATTGCAACTAAAAACAACTACGAAAAAGAACTTCTTAAACTGCTTCAAAAAATGGCAAGAGCAATAGTATACGTGTGCTGCAAGGGACAGGAGATATTCTGAGACGAATCAGTGGCAATATATCTTTTACTGAAATGTATTTTTGAATACACACACTTTAAAATTTTCGATCATACCTGACAAACTGAAAATTGTGCTTTAACAGTAATCGGATGCAATGTAGAGCCTCACCATTGGTTCCACGGCGTTTGGAAACCTTGAATTGAATTAGAAGGAATGGTGCTTTCAGTAATCAGATGCAATGTAGAGCCTCACCATTGGTTCCACGGCGTTTGGAAACCTTGAATTGAATTAGAAGGGAAGAATCTGAGCCTCCTTTGAATTAGGGTCTACATTTTCAGAAGAGCCACACAGTCTCTGAAGTCACTGAGGAAAGCTGTAGACCCTTACCACTCAAAATCCTGGGTCCATCGCTTTGAGGTGCTTCTTAAAGTATTTGTGATCCCCAGATGTTAACGGATATTACTGAACAGAGAGAAGAGAAAACATTTCCTTGTGGTTTAGTCACTTCCTGGACGTCGGGAAAAATACCTAACACCCAGAACTTAAAGGAGGAAATGTTCCTTTTGGTTCACAGTTCAGGCACACTTGGCTGGCTGTAGGTAAGAAACGGGACGTCAGAGGAGTATGGAGGAGCTCATGTCAACCAAGAATAAGAGATAGAGAAGAGAGGCGCAAGGGACAGGAATGCACCTATTGAGGTCATGCCCAGCGCGGCCCACCTCAACCCTCAAATAAAGATCCACCTTCTAACCCCATTTATCTGTGAACAAAGCAATGGATGAATCTGCCCCATGATCCAATTCTCCCAAGCACATTAGACTTGGAGGGATAGTTTAGAACTAAACCATGGATCCTCGCCACACACCCATCTATGACCTCACAAAAGCTGCCCTGACTTGGAATTGTGAGGTCTGCTTGGATCCCAGCCTTGTCACATCCTACTTATTTCATGTCAGAGACGCTATTCAGATTCCTTTCATTCAGGAAGCTCTTCTGTAAATCCAGCATACTCATGCACCATGGTTAATATGAAGGTTGAATGAAGTAATAATATAAACCTCTTTGTAAGCTCCAATACATTTTTTCTGTACATTGATTATTGATAAGGAAGCCCTTGATAGGTGCTGTGCTTGAGCTACTGCCATCATCTTCCATCCTGTCACTGCTCCTCGGATAACCTGTGGATGATAAAATCCAAACTCCTTGCCATAATTCTCAACTTTCCATGAACCAAGCCCTGGACCTCTGGTCTACCATTCTGTTTTCTTTCTCTCAAACTCCCACAGCCTTGTTGGCTTTGATGCTACTTCATAACCACAGCAACTCGGCATTTGGCTGTCCCTTGTCCTTGTCAATTCCCTGGAATTTGAATGCATTACTCACATCCGCATCCTAACCTCTTCCTTCAGGCCTCTCTGCAGATAACCTCTATTCAGATCCCTTACGACTCAGGGCTCAATGAGAACCCTGAAAATGGTGTAGGTAGCAATGAAAGAAAAATGTAAGTGGAGGAAACCAATGTATGTAAGACTGCTGGAAAGACTAGGGGAAAACAGGTCAAGTGAAATTCTCAAGTGAGTTTCTAGAATTCAGAAGGATTAGAATTGTATGAAAGCTGCAGCAGTATCCTCAGCTGCCAGCGAAGCCAGAAAAATGTGGTTGCACAGGAGGCACCCGGTGGCAGCTTCCACCACCTTTCTGTCTTCCCAGCTCCCTGCCTCAACCTCCACCTGTGCGTAAGAGGCTTTTCATTTTCTTCTGCTTTCCAGATCTTTTGTGACTATCCTCACTGGTGGGAAGGAAAGCACCGGTGTTATCCAGCATGCATTACTCTTGTTTTTATTGGCCCTACTAAAAGAAAAGCTCTGAGAAAGTAGGACTCGGCTCAGGATTTAGCTCAGTGGTTCCACCGCCTACCTTGCAAACACAAGGTACAGAGTTTGATCCTCCTGGTGCCAAAAACAAAACAAAACAAAACAAAACAAAAAACAAAAGTAAATATTGGGTCTCTCATATAAGAGAAACCACTAATAGTAATGTTTAATTTTTTCATGTATTTATATGTACAGCAAAGGAAACCACCGCAAAACTAAAGATAGAACCTAAAGAACTGGAAAAAACATTATCTACTATACTTTGAACAGAAAAACAATATTTAAAACATATAAAGAACTCAAAAAGTTAGACAGTGCCAAAATAAAACACCCAAATAAAGATAACTGAAATGAATAGAAATTTCTCAGAAGTTCAAATTGTCTGCTCTGTTCACCATATCTTTTGTTTGGGTCTTCTTCCTTTAAGAAGAAGGTTATTGGTTACATAGGTTACATGTTTTCAATTAATCTAATTTAGTTTCACATTGTACATGAAGTAATTATTTTATCATTTCAAGAAAGAAGTCTTACAAACATATCAATAACTTCATTCTTCCTCACTGACATTTATGTTATTATGTCAAATGTATCACGTCAACATTAGATGTCTTACCAAATAATGTTTTTGCTTTCATAAAACTATGCATAATTTAAAGATTTATAGATAGAAAAATCGGCTTTCATGGGTAAAATTTCTGTTATTTTTGCCCTTTCTATTCTGAAGTTCTATGTTTCCCTCTGGTATAATTTTCCTTCAACTTAAAGGAATTATCTTGGTATTTCATTTTTTACATCAGTCTGCTGAAATTCAATTTTCTAAATTGTCCTTTATCTGACAATACCTTTATATCGTGATCATTCGTGGATGAAATTTCCAATAGGGTATAGGATTCTGGGTGGGCAGTTTTCTTTCATAACAATAACATATTTTCTGACCTTTGTTTACTTACAGATTCTGCTAAAAAATCTATTTGTTTGCAACATTGCTCTATTGTATTGCAGTGTCGTATTTCTCTAATTACTTCCAATAATTGTCTTTCAATTTCAATTCTCTCATTGCTAATTGGGATGTGCTTCCGTATTGTTTTCTTTGAGTTAAAGTCTTTAGGATCTCTGAGCCATTTGAATTCTCACGTTTATATGTCTCATGATGTTTGGACAGTTTTATGCCTGCCATTGCTTCTTCAAAACAGTCTTCTGCACTCCTTTCCTTGTGGGATGCCCGTGGCAAGGCTGAGTAGACCCTGACTTGGGGTGGCTCTTTGGAGTAAAGCACACAAGTGAAGCAAATGAAAAGCAAGCCTCACCACACTCAGCTGGTGTTTTACGCTTTGATTACTCTCTTCATTCTTTCTGCTTGCCTTACTTTTCAGGGTTTTCAGTAGTTGTTTTGTGTTTTGTGTCGTTTTAGTTGCAGTAGTTTGAAAACATTAGATGTGGTGATTCTCTCGTCCTGAGCCAGAAGTGGTCTTTTTTCACACAATTGCCTTAAATTCTTTCGAAAACTACATTTTAGATTTTTCCATTCTCTGGCATAAAATTCTCGAACTGTTTCTTTTTCACATGTAATATGTGGCCCTGTGTGTAAAATAGCCCATCTTGCCACCGCCACTCTTATTTGTTCACCTTGCTGAAATCATATTAACTTAAAAGTGATAAAAGAACCACAGCAAGGAGTGATTTCCCTGTCAGGAGGCCTTTGTGCTTATTGTCCTTTTTCTATGAATTTTTCACTCACTTCTCTCTGTCATAATTCCTTTTCTTTCCTCACCTCTCAAGTGTCTCCCTCACCAAGCTCGGTGAGCACTGTCTGAGGTAATTCCTCCATTTTTCCTCTACTCCAGCTACAGTATATTCTCTATGCTATCACTTGAAGAATCGAAAACCCCTTTCACACACTGAACTAATCTCTGTTATGTTTTTCATATATTTGTCCCCTGCTATAATAGGAGCTACAGTGCAGCATTGAACTTGTTTTGCTGAACCAGCTGGGAGTCTAATGCATTTATATCAGAGACAACAGGGCCTGACCCATTGTTGGGACTCACTAAACAAGTGCGTGACAGCGGAAGATGGAGATGTTTTTCTTGTTGAAGATTCTCTTGTCTTGTGGGCAGAAGAAGAGAGTCTCTCTTTCATATCAGAAATTAAAGGTTTATTATATAAACCTTTATTAGATAAACAGTGCCACTGTAGTTATCTCTGGAGAGGGTAACCAATAGGCTTAAGTATAAGGCATTGTGACTCTAAAGGACTGTGGTAGAATCTAAGCATTGACATCTTCCGTCAAAATTATTGGAGCTTTTCACACAAAGTCATTGGACTGCCGATAATTGTTTGAGAGAATCATTTTTAACAATGGTTATCACTCAATAGTCATGGTAATTACAGAATTATTTTCTTTTAAAGTTACTTCTGCTGTGGACACACCTTATATAAACCTCTTAGGCTAAAATGAATGTCCCCGACTCACTGAGTCATCGAGGCTGTAGATCCCAGTGTCTCAGGATGTGACTGCATTTAGACTAAGAGCATTTAAAGAGTTAATGAAGTTTTACTGATGTTATACACATAGTATCTAACCCAACCTGAATGGTGTAATTATAAGACATAGAAAGGTATACACAAATACGTAGAGGCAGAGAGTGTGCACAGAGGCACAACCTTGTAAAAAAGGCAGCCATATGGAAGCCAAGGTGAGGTTTCAGAACAAGCAAACCATCTGCACCGTGATCTTGGATTTCTGATTTCCTGGATGGAAGGGCAACAGATTTCTTCAGTTTAAGTTTGTGTCATTTGGTTAGGGAAGCCAAATCCAATTGATGAGTGGAGTGCTTCTATAACAAGAAATTGCAAATGTAGAGGTCTCTTTAGAGCTTGTAATGGGTTGAGTTGGAAAGTTTTGAGATGTATGACAGAAAGACGAGATTTCTTGAATAGATTCTTAGTAAGAATATTGACACAAGGGCTGGAGATTTAGCTCAGTGGTTCTGCCGCCTGCCTCACAAGTGCAAGGACCCCAGTTTGATGCCCAGTACCATAAAAAAAAATCAATCCAGAATATTGACACCAAAACTCAGGGGCTTAGAAGTAAATAAAGAGAATGTTGCTGGGAATTATATGAAAGATTATTCTTCTTATAAAATGATAAAGAATTCCCTCAGTTGCGCTCTAGTGTTGTATGGAAAGTAAAAACAGTAAGTAACACACTTTGGTATTTAGCTGAGATATAAAGGAGAAAGAAGAGAAGGAGAAACGGAGAAGGAAGGAGGAGGAGGAGTAAAGGAAAAGGGAGAGGAGAGGAGTGGAGCAAAGGAGAGGAGAGCTACTGTGGAAAGAACTGCTGGAAAATCACTTGGTGAAGAGAAAGCATGGATGGGACTCTGGAATCCAACCAGGAATTTATTTCTTCAGTAGCCAGGAATACACACTGGCTCCAAGGAGCAGAAATGTTACCAGTTTAAACTGAAAGTAACATGATTGGACACATGAAAGCATTGTCAGACTCCGTGTTACCCCTTATGACCATGAATCATTAACCTTGACAAGTCAACCTGACTTGATGAAGAAATTTCCACCAAATCATAAAGTGCACCCCCAGGTGTGTTGTGGGTGTTTCCAGAGATGCGTGGCATGCAGACCAGAAAACCGGGAGGGAGAGAACTCATGCCGATTGTGGGTGTCACAATTCAGTTAGGCAGCCTGATAGAAGGAAAGGGGGAGAAAGAGGAAGTCTGCTGGGCTGTTTGAAAGCGCTGTTCTAATTGAGCAGGTGTGCATTCGCTGCTGTTTCCTATAGATGTCAGACTCCGTTTTCTTCAGCCTTCCAATGCATTCCAGTGACTCTTCAGGGAGCTTCCTGGTCCTCTAATCTCACATTGGCCCTGCATCCTTCAACCTTCTTCGAGTTTCTTGGACTAAGCAGCAACCATGCCTCT